TCCCAAAGTGTAAGTTAAAGCAACATGACTCAAAAAACACATGGACAGAGAATTAGTGATTAAACTTACTTTCTTTTCAAATCTTTTTCGGTCCTTCAGATTGCAGAAAGGAAAAGTTCTTGGTTTGGTACTGGTGCTAGTTTTACCTTTTATCAAAAGGAGGGTAGGTATCACACTCACAGCCTTGTATATGCGCAGAGTTTATTTACAAACTAATAGTAGCTTTTCCCCATCAGATTTAATTTCAGATACCTTCTATTCATGACAAGATAGTTTTTTATTTTTAGTGTTGATGTGGTTTGGCTTGAAATAAATTTAAATTTTAAAAGTAAGTCTTATTTAATTCTAGTCTCATTTAACAAATAATATGCTAACATGGCAAAATCCATAATGGTGCCTGAATGCTGAAAAACACTGCATTGAAGTCAGCTGCTATCTTCCCTCTTTCTTAAATCTTTGTTACTTATTTTTTCACATATTTATGTTTTATGTATTTGCTTCAGTATCTAGAAAAGCACCTTGAATCTAATGGACTCTGAGTATATGTATGCTATTTTTCTATTTTGTGTCACACTGCTAATTGAACCAATGGTATTTTTTAAAGGGAAAGTAGTCTGTTCTCAGCAATCCAGCTTTTATGATGTTCATTTGCCCAAATTGGTAATCAAATGAAAAATATAGAAGGCTGATGAGCTCCATTTTGTAAAGGTGGAAACCAGCCTCCATTTATCTGAACATAGTTCATAAGACAAGTTTTAAAGCTCAGGATGAGCCATTTAAAGTCCTGGTTTTATTGAGTCCTTAGCAGTAAGAGGATGAACTTGAAATAGCATCCTATAAGGGAATACTAAATACTGCTTAAAAATTAAGTTTGTTTGTTCTGGCATTTAAGTTTAATGAAAATATAAACCTGTTTTATAAACAAGTCATGAGCTTTTGGGGAAAACCAAGACCCCAAGCGAATAATTTGGGTTGGTTAAGATTTTAAGAAAATTAAGCCAAAAAAAAAAGTAAATAAATAAATCAACACAGTCTTCAATATAGCACAAAATAAGATACTTAATAACCATAAACTAAATCCTAGACATAGGTGAAATAAAAACCAAATTAACAGTTGAGTCTTGTCTACTATCACCCTTAAGCCTCTTTGTTAACATTTGAGATTCTTGCTTTAATTTTTAAAAAGCAGTGTCACGCAGCAATCAATGAATAACAAAGTTAATGTGCTTCCTTCTCTGACTGTTCTAAATATTGCTGTGTATTTTTGTACAAGAAAGTAAGAATTGAAGAAGGTGATAAACAAGTTATTAAAACATGGCATTTATGTTTGGGGTTTCTTTTATTTCAGCAACCAAAATAACATCACTCAACTATTCAAATCTTTCTACAAAGCGAGGTAGTAATGGAGGACAAGCAAAAGCAAAGAGGGAAGACAAAACAATTGGGTTAGGGAAGAAAAATATGTGCTAGTTAGTTTTTGAGCTTAAGGCAAGGAATTCCTTTTAACCTTTGACTTGGCATGGAAAGAAAAATTGTTCATCTTAGAATAGCTCCTGCTAGTTCCAGCAATGGGTATTTTAAAAGAGAAGATTTATGTGAAAGAAACCATTTCCTGACTCTTTAACTGAAGAGATTTAGAAAGAAAGGTCTTTTTTAGATTAGATGTTATACATTCACAAAGGTGAGTTAACTTTGCTTATAACTTTTTGCTTCTGTTTCAGAAACTGTTACATTTATGTTGCCATGGATTGCTCTAATGTTATATAACATACTTATGAGAAACACAATTTGTTATGATCAATTTTGTCACTCACTATGGTTTCCCTTTAAGATCAGGAGTTACCAAAAATAAAATAGGTTAAGAAGTCCAAAAAGAAAAAGTTCTACCTTTTCTTCTTAAACTTTTACCTACAAATCTTAGAGACATGGAAACACTGAATGCAGCCTCCAAACCAAAAATGCTAAAATTCTAACAAATACATGATCTAAATTTAGTTTCAGAAAGTTTTTTTCAACACAACTGAATCTTTTAAAATTAAAGAACTTATCAATTGAAATTTTTCAAAACATTGCCAATATTTTTTTAATATATCCTTCTGATGCAGAAGCAATATGTGAGATGTTTGAACTTGAAATATATAGTTTTCATAGAAAAAATATAGATATGTATATAAATTTTGATAGCATTTTAATTATTTAGTTATTTAGTTAAAACCTCATCAGGAGGAAAATGACAAATCACTTATTATGCTCCAGAATTATTGTAAACCAAACAATTTAAATGAGAGGAGGAAATAATGACATTAACTTCTTAACTTAAAGCAATCCTCTGCGGCATGACTTTAAAATATTCTGTTTGTCTGAAATTTATGTAAATTGAATTAATCTATGATTAGTCATTACCAGCCTCGCTACATTAAAAAACAACAACAACAATTTTCTGTAACAATTAGTTCTTTAAAACGCTGTGTTTTAATTAGACCCAGGACATTATTAAACTAGCTATAAATATGTACAGTACTTAATTTGGTGTATCCAGATGCCTGAAAATCAACAAGAATGGCTCAGAATTCTTTCTTCAAGAATTCTTCTTTAATTAGAAGAAGCCTTTCATTCAAAGTTTTAAGTTAATCTGAAATAAACATCCTTTTCAGATTCTATTATGTTTATACAAAAGGAATGATCACTCATTATCAGAGAATTATCACTGAATCAGTATTATTTTAGAACTTGTAGGGCTTAGTCAAAGATAACCAATTTCTTCATTTTATAAATGTCCATAGTCACACACAAATTCACAGCAGAGCTTGGACAAAAGCTCTAGATCTAATTTTTAGCTCAAAGCTATTTCTACCATATCATATAAACATTTTATATAGATTATCCCTTACCACAACTCTATAATTTAGGTGTTATCATCGCCCCATTTTATAAATAGGAAAGGTTATATGGTTAGGCTTGTATTTAATCAAGTAAGGATTAAAACACAGTCTGACTCCAGAAACCATACTACTACCCATAATCCTAAATTTTAAGAATAGGTGGATATTTTTTGTTTATAAAGAAAATTTCCAAATAACTATAACATTATATTCGCTTTAAGAATAACAAAATAAAACATAAAGGTTATAATTTGGCATTTCCCTCCCCTAAGATAAGACCTCTTCCCAATCCCACTCAAGCGCCAACTTCTCCCTAAAGTCTTCTTGTATCATTCAACTGAGATTAATCTCTTTATTCAAGTTCCTGATGATTGTTTATTGCTCATATCAGAAAGTGTTCGCTGTCTCTTAAAAACCATTCTCCTCTTCTTCCTTAGTAACAAAAATCCAATTTTTAGTTCTTGGCATATTGCCACATTTTCCAACCTCTCTAGTGGCTAGGTGTGATTATATTACTAAGTTCTGCAATAAGATATTGGTGCAAGTATGGTGTTGGAATTCCAGGAATGCTGTTTAAAGAAAGCAGACTTGGCTTTTAGAGAGCTCTTTTATCCTTTCCCACTACTTTACTTTGCTAGCCACATGTTTTGGCTGGAGGTCCAGCAGCTATTTTGGACCATGAGCCAACCTTGAGGAAGGAATCTGCACGCTGTGGATGTTGGAGGAGAAAGGCAGGAGTCTCAAGCTGTGATGAAACCATAAAGTCACTATACTATACGTGAACAGCTTCCCTCTAGATTTTAAATAACAAAGAAATCACCTTTCATCTTCTATAAGTCACTATTATATTTTTTTCTGTTAAATAAGCTGAATCTAATTCTGATATAGTTCCGACCCACATGTATTTCATAATCCAGGGTTTGTTGTAACCATGGTGAAGAGAGGGAAAAAAAGAAATGGAATTATTTCTCTTATAAAACTGGAGCAAAACATGCCCAATCATAATTTTCATTCTCAAGCACCCTGTGGTAATTTTCAACTTTGGGAAAGAAAAAGGAGGGAAAGGAAGGGGAGGGGAAAAATGGAAAAAGATACTTCTGCCTCTCTGCAATTGCTCATGTCATTTCCTCTTCTCTCTTTTCTACTAGCTAGTCTTACCTATAACTTCAAGGCCGAGCTCAGAGAAATCGCTTCTGTCAGAACTTTGATTCAGCGTGCATATTGCCTGTGCCATTTATTTGAAAATCATGTATCTCTAGTAACATCTTTTGTTCAGCTTGTTGACTTTTACATTGTATTTCTTTTCCATGTGTCATCTCCACACCTTGCATTTCTTTACATCCTCCACAGCTACTAGAAAACTACTTCTGTGTGGTAGGAGCTCAATAAATACTTTTGATTGATTAGCTGAATTAAGGTAAGAAAAAAAGTGAAGAAAGGAAAAAGAGCAAGACAAAGGAGCAAGAATGTACAACTTCTTAGAAGTGAAAGAACATAATAAAAACCCTAAAGAACCCCTAGAACAAGTTTTACTTCACTGGACCTTATCAAACAATTGCGCCTGATAGAACAAATATATATTCACAGTCAGTGCAAAGTTCCAACTGAACTTAGTAAGCTTATTCTCCAACAAAGGGACAGTGTATAGGATTTTGCATCAGTTACTCAAACAATTGCTTCAACTTAATTTTCTCAAGTAACCTAGATGTTTTGAAGAGTAAGAGACCCAACTTAGACAGCTATGTTTTTGATAGTAGATGTCTATAATTCCAAACCATATGCAAAAATTGGATTCCAGCAAAATAATATTCTGTCAAACAATTGTGACAACACATAGAATAATACTTGGTCCCATGAAATAATGACTTAAAATACTACTGAGTCTAAGCTAAGTGGTCCAACAGATCATTTTTGTTAAATAGACCTTATTGTCTCTCTTCTAAAACCAAATAACAATATACGGGATCATGAAAAACATTATTGCCTCTTTAAAAATAGGATATACTCTAAGGAATTGGTAAAGGGACACAAAAATCAACTACATTATATATTGGATGAAGTAAAATAATTAAAAAAAAGGATATACTCTAAACACTTATTTTGTCGAAGCTACATCATTAAAAGCTATGTAGCACTATGCAGAATTAACATTATGTAATAATATGTTTAAAAGCTTTAACTACATTTAAATACACACAATAATAAATGACATAAAGAGCATTTTAAACACAGGTAATTCATACTTTACCTTGACTCATGAACCAGTTTTTACCCCACTGGGTTTTATTCTCAATTATTTGTAAATCACTGTATTACATATTTGCTAATGAGTTATATACCTAAAAATATAATATTCTAACTTATTCTTAAAATTTATCTAAGTTTTAGAATATAAATAAAAATATTAAATTAGCAGGACATTTAGTTTCTTTCTCTTTCTTTCATAACACAAATTAAGTCTTTATTATATCATCTATTTAAAAATAATGATAAAATGCTAAAATAACATCCTTGTTATTATATTGGTTCTACTTATAAAAGTTGAACTACTTTTGAATCTTTTTACATATCATTTATAGTTCAAATCTCTAAAAAATATCACAGTTTCTTGCAAATTACTCAGGAATTAGCTCATTAATGAGTTAATCCTCATTTCAAATTTTTTTTCAGATAGATTTGTCAGAAGAATCCAGGACAGTAGCTTCTTTGACGGTGAAATGTACAATATAAATGACATGTCAACAAGTAATTAGCATTTCCTTTCTGACTAGCTGGGTCACATTTCCTTTTCAAAATCCTTGGTCCCATGACACAAAATAATAATAATCTAAAAGACCTCATTAAATGATCAATATATTGACATAACCTCTATAAGAAAACACATAGTGTTTTAATTGATTCCTTGAATCCATTAAATGGAATATTAAACCCAAGCCTCCAAAATATATGAGAACATTTCTTCTATTAATTAGTTAATTTTCTTTAGGGTATGGATAATGGCATATGAAAAGATTCAAAAACTTTTTATTTACCAAAGAGTAAAAGAAGTCCAGCTTTCACTAAATCTTTCATACCAAATAACACCACAGCAAAAGTTATAATAGATAAATTAAATCATGTTTACTTACCAAAAAACTTCCAAAGGCTGAATTAAATATCGCAGCTGCCTACAGAGAAAATAAATGGGGTGAAAAAATTCACTGAAAGTAAATAGAAATAGAAAAAGCAAAGATTATCATTCTACCTTCTCCCACTATTCAAAACCTTAAAATATTGACTCTATAAAGCAAAGTTAGCCACTACTTACAAAAATTGCCAGTGGCCTGTAGTTTACTGAGACAGATGAGCTGCAGCTTAAGAATTCATAAATAATGGGTGTCAAAAGCAGGCAGAAAAGGCTTGCCATGAAATGCCTGGAACCTATATCATAGTACCAAAAGGATCATCACCAATAGTAAAGCAAAACCTTGTTGTTATTGATTTTGCTACTAGACTTTAAACAATCAGAGGCTGACATTCATTTAAAAAATTCATATTACTGGGAGAAGGAAAAACAAAATTATAAGGCAAACATTAATTGCTCCCCAGCAGTGAGCATAAGTCCTGTGAACTACAACCACGAGGTAAGATCTGTTGTCCCCATACAACACACATTAGAAATATGAACAATGCTGTTAAAACAAGAAGAGATATTTGACTTTGTGCTTACCTAAATATCCATGGAATACATAGATGTAATATAGCTCTTAACTTTAAATCAATCACTATATTCCATAAAGCTACACCAGAGTCCCGAAAGCTTCTCATATAACCCCAAAAAGAGAAAAACTTGTATAACATCCAATTTGATGAAAGAAAATAAAAGAGAGAAAAAATAATAAAAGGTAAAAGGAGGGGTAGAGAAAACCTATTTACATCTCTTGCAGATCCACAGCAGAATTAAATTAATCATCATGGACATTAGCAGCCAAACTATAGTAAAAAGAGAATGTCAGTTTAGTAAGTTTGAATAAAGTCCAAAGCCAGGCTAACAGCTACAGCTGAAAATGCCTTCTGCTCTGGAAGAGGATGCAATGAGAGTGAATGGGTAATGAGATCCTTGGCTCCAGAGAGCTTAGCTCTCCTATTCCAGTTCATAATTAATTCAAAGCTTTGATAATTTCATTAGATGTCTCTCCTTTGCTGGCCCTATCAATAAAAGATGGCACTGGACCACAGCTCCTCTGTGGCATAAACATAAGCACAGGCACAGACCAGGGAAACCTTTGCTTCCTGACAGGGACAATGGCATATGGTGTTCGGTGTTGTACAGGGAACAGTGAAAGAAAAAAAAAAAAAAGATTCAGCTAAATAAAACATTACAGGTAACAACTGTAAACTATAGCAACATACTTAACACATTTTCTTGGGATTCCATTATGAATGATTCCAGGAAAAAGTTTTTTGTATGGAGCAAAATAGGTAAAAAGATATAAATAAATGAGTTGTGGTGAAATTATCAAGGAACTGCCTTTCTTTCTACAAAAATGCACGTTCCCCACAAACAATGTTTAAATCTAGAAACTATTTTGTGCTTAAAATGGCTTTATCTCTCTTTTTAGCAAAGGAATGAGGTCCTCCCCATTGAGCACCTCTCTTCCAAATTAATTTCTTTCCAGTGCCTTTCACTGACCTTACATTAGATAACTAGTAGTTTTGCCTACCATTTAAGGAATCGTGGAATCACTAGATGTAAAAAGACTTAGAAGTCAAAGTAAAATTGGAACTAACTACTGCTCATCAGATCAAATTGCCATACTCCCACTCCCTCTGGTTCCCTTTTTTTAACCCAAACACAAGCAATAAATTTTATGTGAACTGGTTGTGTTTCTGCATCTTATAAAATGACAGTGATGGCAGTGATGGGATATCTTAGGTACCCAAAAATGCTGTAGGCCAACTCATTCTTACTTGTTTTCTAACAGTGGTGATGGATTTGAACTCACTCAGTTACACCATCATTCCGTGCAGTGAGCTCTGGCAATCTTTTGTGAAATGCTTGATTAAGGTTCTGGATATTCCGAAGACCAGGTGAAATCACTGAACCATGGATCTTGGGCTCAATAGCAACAGATAACTAAGCACAATTGTGCAGCTGCAGCATATGAAAGGATTATGATTTCCAGAGTTCCAAAGAGTAAGAATTAGTGTATAAAAGACATGCATGCCTTCTGACATAAGGAGGAATTCCCAGCTCCTTAGCATGATGTAATAGGCCCTCCATGTACTGGTCTCTGTCCAACCCATTCTCTGCCTCAGATATTAGATTCTGACAGCATTAAACTATTTGCAGTTCCCCAAACTCATAATGTTATTTCTTACCTCTTTGGTTCCCTGTCCTGAAATGCCCTTCTCCCCTCTTCTGCCTGGGGAACTTTCATTTATCTTAGTGACTCAGTTTGGGAATTGTCCTAAGAAGTTTCCAATCACCTCTCCCCACACACACCTTAGCATATACACATTTACACTTAACTAGCTCTACTGCTGTATAGCAGTGGTAAGTTTTAAAACAATATCTATGCTAAACATATTTATGTAAGTATATCATAAGAGGAAGGTTCAGGCATTTTAAAGGAAGTAAAACACAATGTTGTGAAAAAGATTCTTATATTGGATGGGAGATTGAAATCTAGATCTCCTATCATCCACATACACATCTACACTTATAGGTGGAGTCATGTCTCTACTCCTGCTGCCAGAACATCCTGAGCCTATCTCTGTCATGGCACTTGTCATACTGTATTGAAATGATCTATTTACATGCCTCCCTGCCCCACTACAGTCCAAGGTCTTCTAAGGATGGAATCTAATGACATTCATCCTAAGCACCTCCATGTTTGTTAACCGAATTGCTGAAATAAGTAGGATTCCCTGAAATGTCCAAGACTACCTCTCCTACTATGTTATCCTATGTGTTTGGCAGAATCCAAAGACAGGTGGCAGACAAAGAACACTGAATCTGACACCTGGTACCACAACCAAGCAATATCTATGACAGGAGATCTAGACTCTTATGATATACTTTCATACATATGTGTAGCATAAATAATGTTTTCAGACTTACCACTGATATACAGCAACAGAGCTAGTTAAGTAAAATCTAGAATTAACAAGGAATACTTTGCAACCATTAAAAGAGGATGATCTGCATACACTGATATGAATAAAAGCAAGATATCTGAAGTGAAAAAGCAAATTTCAAAAGTGTGTATGATTCCTATTGTGTAAATATGTGTACACACACATACACATATAAAAACATACCACTTTTTCTAAAAGGAATCCCCCCCCAAATAAAATAAAATAACTTCCTAACTATGGTTAATTTTGTTGACAGGGATTGGATAGGAGTCATTTATTTTTCATTTTGTTCTGTCTGTCCTGTTGGTGTTTTAATTTTTTCTAACATTTTAACCTTTTTACATTTTAATAAAAATTATCAGGGCAGTGAGATGTTAATCCATTTCTTATTTGGTTTTTGAACTCCTTTGTGTTAAAAATATAATAAATACTTTAATTTAAAATAAAATTAAGGGCCTGCCCGGTGGCACACTGCTACAGTGCGCCGCTTGGGAGTGTGGCGGCGCTCCCGCCAAGGGTTCGGATCCCACATACAGACCAGTTCCCGCTCACTGGCTGAGCGAGGTGCGGGCATGACACCGAGGGTTGCGATCCCGTTGCCGGTCCCGGTCCGGTACGGGCGCGACACTGAGGGTTGCAATCCATTGCCGGACACAAAAAAAGACAAAAAGGGGAAAAAAAATAAAATAAAATTAAGATTTCAATGCCTACTTTGCATGTTAGTGATATTTCTTGCTGGTTGCTCACAAGCTGGAGGTTGTGTGTCCTTTCAATCACACATCATTGTGCTGGGGGTGTAAGAAGCCACAGGATGAAGAGAGGGCATCTTCTGGGATTATAGCATGTGAATATTTGGTTTTGAAAATAAACAAAGAACCCACTATTATTTTTATATTAAAAAAACATGGCTATAGAAAATACAGACTTCATGAACTGAGATCAAACATGAGCCACCAAATATCATTTTTTCCAAAGGTAGGAGCCTTTGGGTTATATCATCAGACTCTCATGGGATATAAGATTCCTTTTCTCTGCCTTCTGGAAGCCATACCTAGGGCAGTCCACTGACTTTAAAATATAGCACTTTATTTGTTATTATTTCCTTTGCTAGTAACAATTTCAAAAATCAATCCCCCTCTAGAATGCTCCATTACAACAAGAATTCTGTCTAATTTATTCAAGGATGTGCCTAGAACAGCACCTGGCTCATAGCAGATCTTCAATAAATATTATTAAATGAATGAATGAATGAACAAATACTTCTTGTGCTTACTGAATGTCTGCATAGTAATGTTTTCATTATTAACTCATAAATCCCATGTGCAAAGTATGAATCTTGGAGTAATCACATTTAATGAATAATTAGATCAATGCTAACTGAAACAAGTTCATATTGAGTTGTTTTTTTAATACTGAGTAGATTGGCTTCCTTTATATTACACATTTTTAGAAAATATATTGCTTTTGGTATGAATCTAATTTATCATATGTGTGTGTATTTATTAATTAAAAAGTATGACTTTCTATGTTTTAAAAACACTGGTTGGCTCTAGGTTGAGAGAAAAGGTAATTCGAAGTTTAAGCTAGACTGCCATAGATGATTTAATATCTAAAAGTTAATCCTAATTACTGATTATTAAACTATTTTTGTAACCAAAAGTGACCAGACCATGAGATCTGACAGAGGCACTGTCAAAAAAATGGTAGGGGTGGAGAACAGGAGTACTTGAGAAGGCATTTCAGGTATATAATCCTTAAATTTATGCCATTCAACAAATAACACAACATTTTAAATACATAGCTAATGATCATATGGTTTTTCTCTTTGATTTTGACATTCATTCAGGATAAAGACTCTCTATAAATTAGGTATAGAAGGAAAGTATCTCATCACAATTAAAGCCATATATGACAAACCCACTGCCAATATCATCCTGAGTGTGGAAAAGTTGAAAGCTTTTCCCATAGAACAGGAACAAGACAAGGATGTCTACTCTCATCACTCCTATTCAACATAGTGTTGGAAATACTAGCCAGAGCAATCAGG